CAGCCGTGCTTCCATTGAACGGCCGCGAGCGCTCAGCAATGCAAAGCGACCGCGCGGCTGCCGAGCGGAGCGCAATCGACCGGTAGAGCCTGCCGCACGCGTTCCCCAAGTCCAGCTCCGCACGGGCATCCACATCAGGACCGACGGGTTGCGGCTCCGCCAGGAAGAACTCGCCGGCCTCATCCTCTGCCTCGCTGGCTGGCCTCCAACCAGCCCCTCATGATCTTCACCAACCGGACGCAGCCATCGGGAGTGACCACTCCAAGACGCCGGGGCTTCAGGCTGGCCCGAAGCTCTTCGACAGCCTCGGTCTGGGCGAGGGGGCGCTGAACCGCTCCTGCCAGGTCCACTCCTCCTGCTCGCCGTCCGCGGCTGCGCTCTCCTCCGCAATCTATGCCTCGGGCACCTCTTCCTCATCCTCTCCCTCTGGATGCTCCTCCTCCCCTCTACCTCCTCCCCTGCCGACGGCGGAATCGACGCCGGGGGTCACAGCACGGCCGCTCCCCCAAGGATACCTCAAGGAAGGATGCCCTTTCCTTACGGTCGCACTGCGTCTCAGCACGTGGTGCTCTCAGCATGGCTTCCTGTGCAGACCCGGCGGCGCCACGGCCGCCTCTCCTCTGCCACCTCCTCCCTCAAGTCCTCTTGGTGTGGCCGGCGCGCTGCCCACCGCCGACACCGAAGTCCGCGTCCGCCACGCCCGCCAGCTCTGAAGCCGCAGCGCCCTGGTGCAGCAGCCGACCTCGCAGCCGAGCTTCCAGCTGCTGCCTCCCAGGATACGCCGGCAGCAAGCTCGTTGTGGCAAGGGCGGCCAGGGCAATCTGGACGGTGTGCTGTAAACCGCCCCCAATGATGTCCTGCAGCTGGGCCTCAATCTGGGGGATCGGGACCCGGATTGGGCTCAGCGCCCTCTTCCGTCAGGTCGCGGATCCAGCCGCTGAGGGAGGCGAACCCCTCCCTCCCTCCCATCCCATCCCTCCTCCCTCCCCATCTTCTCTCCCTCCTCCCTCCTCCCTGCTCCTCGTGCTCCTTCTTCTCCTTTTTCTCCTTGTTTTCCTTCTCCTTTTCCTCCTCCTCATCCTCGTCCTCCTCCTCATCCTCATCCTCCTCCTCCTCCTCCTCCTCCTCCTCCTCCTCCTCCTCCTCCTCCTCCTCCTCCTTTCAGAACTGATGCCCCCTCCACCGCTGGCGGCCTCGCCGCACCCCCCGGCCCTCGAGGTCGCAAGGCGAAGCTGGCACGAGCTGACATTGACGGCTCGGCGGCTCTGCATGTCTACAGCACAGAGGGGCCGAGCGAAACCAGTCGCGATGCGAGCTGACGGCCGAGTGGAAACAGGGACGGTGAAACCTCAGCGCAGACCGCAAGGCCAGATGCATCGTGCGTGCCCAGCCTCCTGGCAGCCTCGCGGCCGAGTCCCAGCAGCGGAGAGGGTCCTAGATGTGCCTCTCCCTGGCGGTGCCGCTCGCGTTGGCGCACGAGGCCGGCTTGGCGCCAGCCCGTGTCGGCAAGACCCGCGCGATCACGAATTACGACATTCCTTCTGCCTCTTTCCCCCTCCCATGCCTTCCTCTCTCCCCCTGCCCGCCCCCCTTACTTACCCTCCCACTCTCCCCACACCCCCACCCCCGCTCTCACGCTTCCCCCGCGCCTCCACCCTTCTCCCCCTCGTCTTTTCCCCTCGTTTCCCCCTCTCTCTTTCCCTCTCTCTCTCTCTCTCTCTCTCTCTCTATATATATATATGTCTATCTATCCATACACATCTCTACCCCTCTCTCGCTCTCTCTCTCTCTCTCTCTCTCTCTCGTTCCAGTCTCGGCTCGGAAATCTCTGACCCAGTGCGCAGCCACGACACAGAACACGAAGCGATTAGCACTACCGATGTTCGCATTGCGAGAATGGACACACGCCGTCCCAGCGTGAGACTGATTCGTGTCATCCCCCCTTCAGTATCCGCTCGAGCCATGGTTCCGAAAACTAATCGCTGTGCGCCCCCCCGGCATCACGGCAGCCCAAGCCACCAGGCAAGGGCCGCAAGAAGGCTTCTTTAACAAAACGACTGGACACCCACTTCAGTCGGAAAGGAAACCCGCGTCGCCGCACTCCAAACCAGTGGTGGCGTCGACCGAGCAGTCGCTGCACCCAACGACCTCGCTGACAACCACCAACATGTGTATTGGCGTGTCTGGAGAAGTGTCGGCGCACGCATGGCGCATGACGTCTTCCGAATTCCACCCTCCTTGCTGCTGGACCGCGCGCGGGGGCAGCTCTGCTGCGCATGCATCCCGTTCCGCCTCTACGAAGCGAATGCGCGCTAGCAGCCGGGCCCGTAAAATGAGACGACACCGCCTTGCGCCACGAATCCGCGCTAACCCGCTGGAGTTTGGAAACGGTTGTGGCGCAAAGAGGACAGGCACGTCCACCGCATTCACGGCCTTCCAATCCGCCCAGTCCTGGAGGAGTTTCGCCGGGGATAGCCCCGCAATAGGCTTGAACGGAATGAAACGCCACTGGCCTTTGCCACATGGGTCGCTCTTTTGTTTCCCGATGAAACAGCGCGCGCAGGAGGCGTTAAAATGCGCGTCCTGAACGCGAAAGCTGATCGCTTCCGAAGCGCGGCGCAAGCCAACAAAAAAAACAAAAATATGCGAACGATGCATCTCTTCGCCCAGACGGCGTGCCTGTCGCTGTCCTGGCCGCGCAGAATTGCGCCCACTCGCCCGCGCAAATCGCGCGCTTTTGGCGCGATGTGTGGGAAGCCCTCTTTTTCAGGCCTCGCCAAAAATTCGAAGCCCGCTCGCCCCGGCTATCGTCGAAGACCTGGCTGTAGTTATTGCTTCGGTGCCACGCTCGGACAGCTGCTTTGTTGTGCCGCATGGTTTGCCAAGCCGCGCCGTCCACGCTGGCCATCAGGAGCATGAGCTGATCCGGCGAATCCACAGGGAAGATGCTAGAATCGACTCGCCGCTCGAAGCCATGAACATGTACGGACAAAGCTCTTGCGTGGGTCCGGACTGTGCTCTGTTCCCACCCGGCTCGCAGGATGTCTCGCGCGGTGTCAATGAGCGCAGTCCGCGCGGACAATGCAGCTGTCTGCGTGGATGCCTGATGAACGTCGCCCCGAACCGGCGCGAACGGGAGGTCCACGTCGCCCGCGACAGAAGCGCCGACGATGGCACGAGGCAGTCTGGCTGCAGGGCGGGCCAGCACAGCGGGCGCCTCCGAGGCCCTGGGCTGAGGACGGATGGCCCACCGACGATCTGGCAACGGCGCGGAGAGCAACTCAGCGCCCCAGGGCACTGGGGCGTTTGCCTGGCCAGACAATGGTTCGCTCAACACCTGCATGTTTAGAGCCTGAGCCCAACCAGCCACGGAAGGCGGGGGGCCGGGGGTTGGGCGAGAACCCGGGGTGGGAAATTTCATCGGGCATGAAATCGCCACCCAGCGGCGGGGGTGCGTCGCCTGCGCCCTCGATGGGAAGGGCCCCTTCGCTGCGCCTGGCGAGAGCTCTCCAGGGGCGCCAGCGTCGACCACGAGCGTCCCTGATCGGATCGGACTGCGACTTTACATGGGCCCCTGATTTTTGTGTCCTGGCGGCCCTGGGGAGCGGACCCGCACTGGCCATATTTAGGGGAACAAAAAGTGGCATAAACATAAAACCTCGGAGGTCCGAGTTTTTATGTCTATGCCACGTTTTGCTCCCCTCATATATTGCCTTTGAACATGCCACAAGTGGTGGCAATCTGGACCCCCCGCCTGGCAAGCCCGCCGGCCACCAAAGGCGGCGCTGGGTCGCCTCTACGCGGGTCCGCCGGCTTCTCCTCCCTGGTCGGGGCTTGGAGTTCCCGAAACCCTGGAAAAATGAAGCAGGACCCGGGGTGTGGAGCTCCCCGAAACTCTGACAAACCAAACCCGACCAGGAGGTGGTGTTTTAGGAAGGCACCAACTAGACACCAACACCGATCCTGGCCCAGGATCACCCTGGGCCCAGGATCGGTGTATGCGACCTCCTGCCTTGCGCAAGAAGGCATACACACCGATCCTGGGCCCAGGGTGATCCTGGGCCAGGATCGGTGTTGGTGTATAGTTGGTGCCCTCCGATGTTTGCTTTTGCGAGATGGCACTAGCTTGCACGCGTGGCTTATGCGAAGGAGCACGCGGCTGCGGGGCAGTGGCGGGGGGCGCCACGGACAGTGACACCCACGCGCGCCACGCGGAGCATGGGGGCAGAAGGAAGAGAACCCGGCGCAGGCCGGAAGACAGGAAGCCGGGCCCGCTCCGGCAAGTCCTCCTCCTCCTCCCTCCCTCCTCCTCCTCCTCCTCCTCCTCCTCCTCCTCCTCCTCCTCCTCCTCCTCCCCCTCCTCCTCCTCCTCCTCCTCCTCCTCCTCCTCCTCCTCCTCCTCCTGCCCGAAGGCGGCCGGGCAGAGACCAACGACTTAGGGCGACGATATCTATACATATCCACTGCTCCTGGCCAGGCCCAGCCTGGGCCCAGGAGCGGTGCATGTGCCTCCCTGGCCAAGCCAGGAGGGCGTGTACACGGCTCTTGGGCCCAGGATGGGCCTGGCCAGGAGCAGTGAATATGTAGAGATATCGTCGCCCAACGACTGGGCAAGTACGGAACATCCAGACCTGCCGGAGCCAGCTCAGCCCGCGAAGCATACCTGATGGGCGCTGACCATGAGTAGCAGCAAACGGCTGCACGGAGAAGTGGGCCCGCCACGCGTCAGAGAAGCCGAGAGGACCACACCAGAATTGGGGAGCAGAGCGGCGCTGGCAGAGATCCAGCGACGGGGCAGGTGTACGCCGCGGTCTGGTGACCTGCGAGGCGCGGTGGAAGGGGGGGGGGCGGGCAGAGTACTAATGCGCCGCGGCTGCGCTGCAGCGAGCACGGCCAACCTGGGCGGCCGGCGCGTGGGCGAAAGGCACACGACCGAGAGCGGGGAGGGCCACGCCACCATTGGGGGAGCGGCGCGGAGCTGGGAAGGGCCCGGCGAGTGAGGCAGGTGGGTGCCGAGATCTGGTGACCTTCGAGGCGCGGACAGGGGGGGCGGGCACACACACACACACACACACACACACACACACACACACACACACACACACACACACACACACACACACACACACGCGCACGCACACACGCACGCACGCACGCACGCACGCACGCACGCACGCACGCACGCACGCACGCTCGCACGCTCGCACGGCACGCACGCACGCACGCACGCACGCACGCACGCACGCACGCACGCACGCACGCACGCACGCACACACACACACACACACACACACACACACACACACACACACACACACACACACACACACACACACACACACACACACACACGCGTGCGCACACCTACAGCCCCCATGACGTGCCAAAACATGGTCCAAATTCTTACGCACCTGGTTCTAAACCAATTCCTCATTCTTGTCCTCCCTCCGGCTGCGGATGCGTCTGCCGCTCGGGCCTCCCTCCCGCGCCTCCCCCTGCCCGCCTGATTGGAGAGGGTGTGCGCTCTGCGTGTGAGAGCGAGCGGCGCGAAGCGCACGGAAAAATAGAGCCTGCGCGAAACCGAGGCGCCCTAAACTACAGCCCCTTTCGGGAGTGGCTGCGCGCTGACGGATCCGGCACGCGCAGGCATCGGGGGGGGCGAACGTCCGTCGGAGGCGGGGAGAGGCGGCGCGTGCCGCCCCTCTGCCTCGTGGGTGATGCCGGCGTGGGAGTGCTGCTGGAGCGCGTCTCTTTGTGTTCGGCGACGACGGGCGTCATGGGGGGGGGGGGGAGGGCGGGGGGGGGGGTATGACGGTGACGCCCCCCCCCCCCCCCCGCCCTCCCCCCCGAACTCCTCGGAGGAGGCCTGCCAGCCCCTCGTTCGGAGTGGCGCGGATGAGATCTCAGCAGCTGGGCAGCCGAGTTCTAGCCGTCGGCACCGAGGCGGCCTCGGCCTCCATTCTGAAACTGCGCGCGTGCGCGAAGCCCCAGGGCCCCAGCCTGGATTCCAGCACTGCCGAACCGTGCTCCCTCAACCTCTGGGCACCGTGGAGCATGTAAAATACGGCGACTCCGTGCTTCCAGGGCCACGTCCCTTCGCAAAGGCTATCTCGGAACTCAAAGGGTGGCGCTGCTGCTTGAGCCGCCTGCTGTTGTTGCCACCATCCTGCCGTCGTTGCAGCTACGTGCTCCTGCTTGGTGCTACTTGCTGCAGCTTGCTCCTGTATGTTGTTGGCTGCTTTTGTTTGCCGCTGTGTGCTGCTCGGGTCGTCCTTGGGGCCTCTCGTACGCATCTTCCAACCTCGTGGGGCCTGTTGGGCACTCTCGGACCGTTTTGGGACCCTCTGAGGACATCCAGGGGCTCTCTTGGACGGCCCCTTTGAAGCTTCCAATGGCCTTTGAGGCCTCTTGAGCCGTCTCGGGACGTCTTGAGGTGGTTCGGAGGCACCCTTGGGCTGTCTTTAGGTGGCAACACCCGAACCCTGCACCAACCATCGATTGTCCTGAATCGATGGGGGGCGGGGGTGGGCTTCGGGTTTCGCCTTGCGTTCGACACATTCCGAACCCTACCTCCCGCCGCTGGGTTCGGATTTCGCCGCCGAGTCTTGGCGCCCTCCGTCTTGGTCCGAGCCCAGTTGGACCGCACGCGGCCGCGCGCGAACTGAGCCGAGGATCGACGGCGAAGCCCGCTGTTGGGCCCGGCGGTGTGCGACGAGGACCGACATCGGGCCCATGCCCTTCAAGCCCAGGGGGGGCGTACGCGGGTTGAGCCTGCGGACTGGGGCCAGCCAGGCCTCGAAGCATGCCCAGGGTACCCTGAGATCCTGGAGTCGCACTATTTCGCATCAGGCGTTCTCCCCCCCGTTCGGGCCCCGGGGTCATCGCAGGTCGATCCAGCTCGACTGGTGAAGCAAATCGATGGGTCTAGGGCTCTGGTCGTGACCTTTCACTATGCTTCAATTTCTTCGCGCCGTCGGATCTCCGGGTGCGGGGCTGGCTGGGTCCCCAAACCCCCGACGTAATGAATTTTTCATTACGCCGACCCCAGAGTTCTCGACCCCTTCCCCAGGACCGGTTTGTCATCCTGAGTCGTTTTGTGACGCTCCCGAGGCCCGGTGAGGGCCCCCCGAGGCCGAAAATGGCGAAAAACCTCCCGTCATGATTTTTTTCATTGCTCGAGGGGTGCGTGCGTGCCCCAGGCGGCGTGCCCCGTGGGGCGACGTGCCCCAGGCGGCGTGCCCTGGGCGGCGTGCCCCGGGCGGCGTGCCCCGGGCGGCGTGCCACCCAGACCCCCTCGAGTAATGAAAAAATCATGACGGGAGGGTTTTCGCCATTTTCGGCCTCGGGGGGCCCTCACCGGGCCTCGGGAGCGTCACAAAACGACTCAGGAGGACACACCGGTCCTGGGGCAGGGGCCGAGCACTCTGGGGTCGACGTAATGAAGAATTCACTACGTCGGGGGTCTGGGTCCCCAGACCCCCGACGTCATGATTTTTTCATGACGTGACCCCCAGAGGTCCAGACCCATTCCCTGGGACCGGTTTTTCATCCCGAGTCGTTTTTTGACGGTCCCGAGGCTCGGTAAGGGCCCTCAGAGGCCGAAAATGGCGAAAAACCTCCCGTCATGATTTTTTTCATTGCTCGAGGGGTGCGTGCGTGCCCCAGGCGGCGTGCCCCGTGGGGCGACGTGCCCCAGGCGGCGTGCCCTGGGCGGCGTGCCCCGGGCGGCGTGCCCCGGGCGGCGTGCCACCCAGACCCCCTCGAGTAATGAAAAAATCATGACGGGAGGGTTTTCGCCATTTTCGGCCTCGGGGGGCCCTCACCGGGCCTCGGGAGCGTCACACAACGACTCGGGAGGACAAACCGGTCCTGGGGAAGGGGTCGAGAACTCTGGGGTCGACGTAATGAAAAATTCATTACGTCGGGGGTCTGGGCTTCTTACACTCCCATGGCGATGTGGCCCTCGGAAGGGTCTCGTGTCCTCTCGCGTGTCCTGTCCAGTCAAGGCCGACTGTAGTGATCTCTTCACCGTGCTTCCCGCCGCATCCCAGGGGGATCCCTGACTCCAGATCCGCCCTACTTTGGCTTTTTTTCCTACTCGAAATTGCATCGGAAATCCACCTATATGAAGCCGAGAAAGAAAGGCGGAAATTTCTGCACCCAACATGAAATAGGGCGATTTGGGCTTCGGCGGCAGCCGCCCCGGGTCCCGCCCCGACCCCCCTGAGGAGTCATGATGCTCTCTTTTGACACCACTAGAAACCTATCAGTCTTCGCTGTTAGGTCCTCTCGCCAGGGCGCCTGGCCCCCTGGTGCGGCCTCGAGGCACGGCCCCCGCCGGCTGCGCCCGCCGCGCCGGCTGCGCCCGCCGACACGCCCGCCGACACGCCCACCGGCACGTCCCATGGCACGCCCCCCAGACCCCCTCGAGTTATGAAAAAATCACGACGGGAGGTTTTTCATTATTTTCGGCCTCTGGGGGCCCTTACCGGGCCTCGGGAGCGTCAAAAAACGACTCAGGATCACAAACCGGTCCCGGGGAAAGGGTCCAGACCGCTGGGGGTCGACGTCGTGAAAAATTCATGACGTCGGGGGTCTGGGCCCCTGGCTGAGCCTGGGACGCACCACTGTGTGGGCCTGGAGCGCGCCATCCTCCAGCGGGCGCGCTCGGAGCGCATGTTGGAAGCCCCTGGGGCGCATCGTGGTCTGGCCCTCGGACGCGCCATCCTCGAGCGGGCGGGAGCGTTTTGCGCACGGAGCGACCCTCCGGCGAGCGGGCATAAACACGAAACGCGCCTGGAGCGATCACGGGACGCATCATTGGATCAAGGGCGACGAACTTCGCGTTTCGCGCTGCGCGAAGGGCTTCGCGCTCTCGCGCCGCCCCCTCCAGGGGGGAAGAGGATGAGGAGTCACAGCCGAACCGCGAAGCGCTAACAGCCCAGACCCCCGACGTAATGAATTTTTCATTACGTCGACCCCAGAGTTCTCTACCCCTTCCCCAGGACCAGCTTGTCCTCCTGAGTCGTTTTTTGACGCTCCCGAGGCCCGGTGAGGGCCCCCCGAGGCCGAAAATGGCGAAAACCCCCCCGTCATGATTTTTTCATTGCTCGAGGGGGTCTGGGAGCTTCGCACCCTCGAGGGCGCCCTTGCATCATTGGCTGGACCTCTGGCGCACCATCCTCCAGCGGGCCCGCCAGGACTTGCCATCGCTCGGACGTCCACATGACATTCCCTGTGCATTCTTCGGCCTCGTGCGTGCTTCTCCCCTGGGTGGTCCAGGATGCTCTTCGACAGTCCTCGCCGAGGAAAAAGGCGCGCGTCCCAGCGGCGCCGAGCAGAATGCGAGAATGCGCCCGCCCTGACTCCGGATCCGCCCTACTTTGGGGAAATTCGTAAGTAGGGCTTGGAATTTCCGCCTTACTTTTCAAGCCCCGCTGATGCCAGTTTCCGCCCTATTTTTCTGTCGCTGTTTCCGCCCTACATCCGTGGATTTCCGCCCTATTTTATGTTGGGTGCAGAAATTTCCGCCTTTCTTTTTCGGCTTCATATAAGTGGATTTCCGACGCAATTTCAAGTAGGAAAAAAAGCCAAAGTAGGGCGGATCTGGAGTCAGGGATCCCCCTGGGATGCGGCGGGAAGCACGGTGAAGAGATCATTACAGTCGGCCTTGACTGGACAGGACACGCGAGAGGACACGAGACCCTTCCGAGGGCCACATCGCCATGGGAGTGTAAGAAGCCCAGACCCCCGACGTAATGAATTTTTCATTACGTCGACCCCAGAGTTCTCGACCCCTTCCCCAGGACCGGTTTGTCCTCCTGAGTCGTTTTTTGACGCTCCCGAGGCCCGGTGAGGGCCCCCAGAGGCCGAAAATGGCGAAAAAACTCCCGTCATGTTTTTTTCATGACTCGAGGGGGTCTGGGGAGGCACGTGTTGCGAGGCACAGGACACAAGGGTACCCTTGAGCTGGCAGGGTCGACCTACTAATCCGGGCCGACTGCATATAAGAGACCTGGGGCAACTCTCCCGGCGTGTCTTAAGACGAGCCTGGGCCAAGGTTCCGTGTTGACGCTGGAGGCGCGAACGCTGTCAAAATGCAGGGCCCACTCTGCGGCGAGCTGGCTGGGAAGCCCTGGCCCAGCTTTCAGGGAGGAGGTTTCTGAATCAGATGCTCGCCCGTAGAATCTCTCCCGCTGGTGACCTTCAACCACGGATAGAAATTCACGGCGGTAGCTATGACGGGAATGACCACCGATGCTATGGAACATGCACAAGCTATTGGGGTGGGAACTGCAGGTGGGAAACAGTCGGTATCCCATTTGAAAGGAATCCCCACTGCAAATGTGTATGGACAATGATCGTGATTCTGACAGCATGTATGTGGATGTGCAGAGGGGTGCTTGTCGGAGTGTGCATGTATACCTGTCCCTACAGTCGGGCTGCTGATAGAAGGAACGACACGTAAGGAACGAAGTCCCTTGTTGGCACCAGCAACGCCTGGGTGCACGAGGAAAGCTAGATGAACAACCACGGAAGGACCTAACAAATATCGAACCCCTTCTGAACCCAAACTGCTCCTTATTTCAGCGTCTCGACTGTGCACTCCGACTCCGCGTTGGGGGCACGCGACCGGTCCGAAGGGCTGCCAAAGAAGGCGCCGAAATCGAACGAACAAAAAATACTGCAGGTCCGTGCCGTGTCGACTCTGGCGTTGGTTCCTGACACCGCGCTGGATCGTTCAACCTTGAACGATCGGCCGCTGCCGCAACGTCCGATCGTTCAACATCGACCGATTCTGGGTCGCCGGCGGCGTTCAACCTTGAACGCCCGCGCTGGGGTCGCCGCCGGTCGACACGACGCGAACCTACCGTATGCGTCGGCACCCCGCCCGGGCTCCTCAGAACAGCCTCCTTGGGGACCAGCCCATGTTGCCGTTCGTCCGCGGCTGGTGGCTCAGAGCACTGAGGATGTGGTCGAGCTTCTGCGTCAGGCCTGCCTGTTAAGACGATGCCACGACGAGAATAGATTCAGGTGAAGACAAATCGAAAATCTCTGAGATATCCGGCCGGCTCTGGAGGATGTCTCGGGCGCTGCGACCTTCTCAGAGCGTTCCAGAACGCTCTGAGGGCGTCCGATTTTGCGGGCCTCGTCTTAGGGGGGCTGGCGGAGGGGGGGGAGGAGGGAGGGGTAGGGGGGGGAAGGAGGGAGGGGGAGGGGGAGGTGGCGCGTGGTGGGGAGGAGGAGGAGGAGGAGGAGGAGGAGGAAGGAGGAGGAGGAGGAGGAGTGGAGGAGGAGGTAGGAGGAGGAGGAGGAGGAGGAGGACAGAGGAGGAGGAGGAGGAGGTGGAGGAGAGGAGGAGGAGGAGGAGGAGGAGGTGGAGGAGGAGGAGGGGGGGAGGGGGAGGAGGGGAGGAGGGGGGAGGAGGGGGGGGGGAGGAGGAGGAGGTGGAGGAGGAGGAGGAGGAGGAGGAGGAGGAGGAGGAGGAGGAGGAGGAGGAGGAGGAGGAGGAGGAGGAGGAGGAGGAGGAGGAGGAGGAGGAGGAGGAGGAGGAGGAGGGACGGAGGATTCCTCCTCGTCCTGGCCCCGCCGGGCCTGTGCTTCCGTCAGCTGGCTCACCTTGCCCTGCAGCAGGTCGAGCTGCCCCAGCACGTGCGAGTGCTGCTTCGGGGGGGGCACGGACCCCTCCAGGCTCCGCGTGGCCTGCTTGGCGGAGTACGCCGGGAGCAGAGCTCCGCTGACGCTGCCCCTCCTCTCGGGGGCGGCCAGGAGGGGGGCGTCCAAGAGGGGGGGGGGGGACGCAAATCGTGGCCGGCGGCACGTGCGCGGCCCAGGGCGGGGGGGGGCAGGGACGTAATGAAATAAGAAGAGGCGCCAGGAAGTCTTAGGGAAATTCATGGCCCGGCTCCATGATATCCACCCCCCCCTGATTAGTCAGCACCCCCCTCTCTGCCGCCCCCGATCCTCCGCGAGCGGCCCAGCGGGTCCGGGACGCCGCCGCTGCCGTCGTCGCGCAGTATGCTCGCGATGAGGCCCTGCACCTGCCCGTCGTCGAGGGCCAGGTATGTCCTCTCCTTCTCGGCGTCCGCCCGGACCGCGGCCAGGCTCCAAGAGATCTTCCGCATGGCCCGCGCGATGGCCATCTTCGTCCTCGCCCGGCAGAGCGCCTGGTGCTCCCGGGGGAACCGCGGGAGGATCTCGATGAGGTCGCCGGCCTCGAGGGTGATGATCTCGAGGTGCGTCAGCGCCCTGCCCGCGGCGTCGTCCCGCAGGACGCTGTTCATGAGGATCATGTCCTCGCCCCAGAAGTCGCCGTCGCCGAACACGCGCGGCCACATGCGCTCCAGAAAGGACAGGGGCTGTTCAGACACGTTGCTGGCATCATCGCCGTCCTCCTCCAGAAGGAGAGTAACCGACATAAAAGCACAAACTTTGGGCGCTCCGCGCGGACTTCTTGGGCCCAGCGTGGGGCCAAGAAACCCGCGCGGAGCGCCAAAAAAAATTCTGTCTATGCAGTTTTGTTCTCCTTCGATCCGTACCGTTCTTGGAAGACTCCTCCTTCGTGGACGACCTTCGTATATGGAGGCGGACCTGCTCGTGGATCTCCAGGCCGAAGGGCGTGTTGGACCCGCGGGCGCAGAGGCCCCGGCGCACAATGAACAGCGTTCGCTCCTGGTAGACCTCCTCGTCCGGCGCGAACGCGCACATCTGAACGAGGCGCGAGGCAGCCACCACGAACGAGTCGTCCGAATGGGAGAAATACCTGAGAGGAGGAGAAGGTACCCATACCGCTGCCCTTCGCCCGTGTTCCCCTTTTGGGGCCTCCTGGGAGGCCCTCGTCGCCACCGCTGGGTTCGCCTCGAAATCTTGGTCAGAACGCACCCTGGGAGAGGTCCGCGGAGTAGTGGTAATGGTACCTTTTGATTTCCCCAGTACCACACTCCTTTGATCCACTTCTTGTGCAGGTGCAGCAAGACTTCGCCCTGCAGGGAAGGCGACAGCTGGTCAATCACGTTCTTCTCGATCCGGTGCCTGTGCACTTCTCTGGACTCGTAGAAAAACCTGCGCATCTTTTTTCGCATATGGGCAGGCATGTCAAAATCCTCCATGAACTCGTTCAGTCCATCTACGTCCTGTCTGAACCGAATCTCTTGCGGGTGCATGGTCGCCACGATGCTGCACATAGCTCCAATGACGTAAGCCCATAACGCCGCCATGAATATCATGCATACAGTACAGATGGCATACTCTGATGTGTTCAAGGGCACAATGTCCCCATAACCGATGCTTGTCAGGGTCATTACTGCCCAATACAAGGACAGCAGATATACATCCCACTGATCTCTGTAGCACCCCTCTCCAGGGACTTCGCCCTTCATAGACGACAGCCAGCCCCCGCCGCCGCACGGCTGCTGCATGGCGGTGAACCCCCAGATGCAGGCAATCCAGTGAATCACTATCAGGAGCACGGCCAGAGACTTCATCATCGACAGGACAGCGTTGCTGATGCCCAAGCTGGTGTGCCAGCGGCTGGATATCCGCTGGATCTTTGCCAGCCGAAGGAGGCGCACGAGGCGAAGCAATCGGGCTATCTTGACGGCTTTCAGCCCCGACATGCCGGGACGCTGCTTGTAGCCCGTTGCTATACTGTAGGCGTCGATGGGGATGATGGATGCGAAATCAATCCAGAACCAGCATCGCATGTACGCTCTTGCAATCGCGCACGGCTCGGTCACCAGCCGCCCATTTTCATCCTTTTGGACGATAAAGAATTGCATGCACATGTCGATGAAGAACAAAATGTCAACACACGTCTTGAACACGAACCAGCCGTCCAGAACCGGGTCGCGGTCGAAGAAAGCTGTCTCGAATGGCGCTGTCCTTAGCCACTAGCCGACTATAGCAGCGGCCACCGCACGGGATCGCTCGACCATATCGGATATCGACGCACCCGGCCACAATTCATCCACGATGCAGACACTATCCGAGTGTGCGCAGAAACCGTTCTGCGAGTGCACTCGCCCCTAGCCATCATTCCCCTCCTTGGCCGCCCACCATTGACCTCAAGCCTGGGCGGGTCGGATTGGGACGCTAAATCTTCGGGAGCGGCCAAGAGGGGGGTGTCCATGAGGGGGGGGTGCAAATCACGACCGGCGGCACGTGCGCGGCCCAGCGGGGGGGCCTGGGATGCAATGAAATAAGAAGAGGCGCCATGAAATCTGAGGAAAAATCATGGCCCCCGCCATGAAATCCCCCCCCCCCTAGTCATCACCCCCCTCTTTTCCGCTCCCGAAATCTAGCCCCGGTGCTGCCCCTGCCGGAAACTTCTTCTCAGTTTGTTGCGGCGGCGGTCCCGGCGACGCGCTGCGCCCCGCAGGCGGACAGCGCGTCGTTCCGCGCTCGCGGGGCGAGGTGCTGGGAAGAACTGGGGACGCTGACGCGTGGAAGTGTGTAGCGCATCGCGCCGAAGCGTACTGGGCCAAAACTGGCGGAGCGACGCATTAGAGGACAATTCCCAAAACTCTGGTCTGGGCATTGTGTGCACGCTACACCAGGCACGCACGAGAAGCCATCTTGATCTGTGAACCAGCGTTGGCCCCACTACTCAGCCATTGATCGCACTGTGTATATGACGTGGCGCAACCATTTGGTGCAAGCTAGATGGTGCAAGCTGTGTGGTGCAAACTATATAATGCAAACTACGTGATGCAATCTGCGTGGTGCAGGCTGCGTGGCTCAAGCTCTGTGGTGCAAGCTATGTAATGTAAGTCATGTGGGGCACCTAATCTTTTTAAGCGCATGAATTGTCAAAACACTTGTTCGCGCAATCATCTCACCCTCCCACCCGCAGATTGTTTTGCAAAATCCATGCGGCCGCGATTGCTACGACCGTTTAGCCCTACCTCCCAAACCTCGCTGCAATGCTGCGGCTTGCTGGGAGGGCGTCATGTTGCCTGTGGTCACATTGATCCAGGCATGTACTTCGCGGACGAACTCGCGAAATGGAACTTGACCGGCAGGGTCCCAATGGGGGCCAGTCGTTCTAGTGTCGTCTCCGCCCCGCATATGTCCTACCGCACACCCAATAGCGACCCATATAAGCCCAAAAATAGCAACCCCAATCCAGCGGCCTCGTAGGTCGTAGTCGGATGTAGTCGGTGGGGACTTAAGTTTTGACGTCGTAAGTCTGCGCGGGGTCGGAGGCGGCAGTGTGTCGTATCGCATGTTTCCATGCATTATGTCCTCGAAGAAACTTCCAAGTGGAGTAGGTGGGTGGACTTCAGGAGTGTAATAGCGCAGGGATGTAAGATGTGAGTGAGAGAGCTCCGCTTGGACAGAGGTATCGCTGCAAGTTTCCTTGCGGTACTGCGTAGTTGTATACACTCCTCCGCGCAATCCAACTGCAACCTGATGTTCCACCATATCTTTAGTCCACCAGATAGTGCCGTGGATGGTGACGAGTAGAGCTAGAGCTGGCCACCAAAGGCCAGCTCCGCCACCAAGTTTGAAGGGGGCTGGAATGCCCAGCCAACAGCTTCGCCTCAGGCGAAGCCAAGCTCCAACTCTGTTGTACCGTAGTAGCGATGGTCCCCGTATGAGAGGAGATGCCATCTCAAGCAATAGGAAGATCCTTTTGGTCTCGATAGCGGTTGTGTGCCTCGCAGTGAGGCACAGTCAAATTAGGGCGGCCGGCCGCTTGAGCCGACGGCCGCGAGCGCACGCTCGCTTCCACTCCTTACGTCCCTCAGCTCGCTTTAGAGTCGCCAGGGCTGAACCTAAACGGTGTTCGTTGTCGTTTTGCTTCCGTTTTCGCTCGCTTTTGTCCCGAATTCGCCTTTACTGCAAAACGAAGTCGAAACGAAAACGGCCCACGAAATCGCCACAAACACCGTTCAGGTCCAGCCCTGGCGGCCGCTACAATCACGAAGAAGGCCTCCAGGGCGCTTCCCGCGGGGCCATTGGACCTGCTTGGCATGGGGGCGGAAAGCGCACTTACTTTCAGAGCGCACGGGATCGCTGGCTCGTCCGCTCTTACACCTCTTATTGACTCCCTTCCCCTCGCTCTTGTCCTATCTCAGCCTCGGAGAGTCGCGGAGCTTTCTTTGAGCGCGTTTCTTGTTTTGGAGGGGGCGGTCGGGTCGCGTTGCGTTTTCCGCGTTTGGGCTGCCAGCTTTCCAGAACCCCGCGTTGTCCTTGCGTGGACCGCTCGTTGTCCACGCGTTGCCGCCCGTCCCTGTGCCCTGGCTGCAAGAACTTATTACGCCGCAGCTCTCTGTTGGGAGCTTTGGTCTTATCAGCTCGATTACGTCACCGCTCGCTCTTGGGAGCCGCGGTGCTAAGAGCCTTTGGGAGTATTATGGGCCTCTTGGGGGGCTCTTGGGGAGCCTCTTGGGTGCCTCTTGGGGACCTTTTGGGGCTTCTCGGGGGCCTCTTGGGGCCTCCTGGGAGCTTTTGGGTGGCGGGGGTGAAGGGACTAGGCTGCCTTTGCCTTTGGCCGTCTTTGGGCTCTCTTGGGGGCCTCTTGGGGCCTTCTTGGGGCCGTCCTGGGGCCGTCTTGGGCCGTCTTGGCGCCTCTTGGGCCGTCTTGGCGCCCTCTTGGGCCGTTTTGGGGCCCTCTTGGGGGCCTCTTGGGCCTTCTTGGGGCGCTCTTGGGGGCCTCTTGGACAATCTTGGGCGCCTCTTGGCCCGTCTTGGCGCCCTCTTAGGCTATTTTTGGGGGCCTCTTGGGAACATCTTGGGCCGTCTTGGGGCGGTCTTGGGGGCCTCTTGGGCCGTCTGCAACGCCATGAAAGGCGAAAAGCCGTATATGCTAAAAATGCACGTTTTCCTTCAGACAATCAATAATTTGGGCCTCGTGGGGCCCTCTTGGGACGCCTCGTGGGCGCCTCCTGGGGCGTCGTGGAGGCCTCTTGGGACGTCTTGGGGCCGCCTTGGGCGGTCTTGGGCTCTCTTGGAGCGCTCTCGGGCCGGCTTGGGCGCTTCTTGGGCCGTGTTGGGCCGTCTTGGGCGCCGTCTTGGCCGCTTCTTGGGCTGTCTTAGGCGCCTAAGACGACCCAAGAAGCGCCCAAGAAGCGCTTTCCGATGATGTCTTGAGCGAAACGCTGTTTTTAAAGCCCCGAAGGCCGTCCTACTCGATAAAAAACGAGGCGGGAGGGCAATTAGATCCGGGTCCGGTGATGCCAACCCCCTCGAACTCCCCCAAGTCCAATTTCTTCCGACTAACGGACCGCACGCTAGCGCGCGCTTTCCGTCCTCTTGCCAGACCGCCAGGCAGCCTCCAGCAAGCACCCTGCGGGCCCCAAGACCGCCACAAGACTGCTCCAGGTGGCCACGGGGCCTCCGAGGGATGTTCCCCCGAGCGGCAAACGTCACTCCAAAAACCTGGTTGTTCAAGGACGTGTGCTTTCTGGCGACGTCTCTTTCGATGGGCGTCTGAAGTCTGGAGATGGCTCCAAGATCGCCCCAACTAGCTCCAAGAGGAGCCCAGAAGGTTCCAAGAGGGCCCCGGAGATCCCCAACAGCGTTGCAGGGACACCCCCATCGCCTGTCAGTGCCAACAGGTAATGATTCTGGCAGAAGAGGCAGCTGAGGCGCTGACAATGTGATGACCACCAGCAAACAGACGGCACCGCAGTCCCACCATTGAAGAAAAATGGAGTCGTCCTGGTAGATCAGCATCCACTTGGGATACTGCCCGCACCAACCCTCGGCCTCTCGATCTACCACCGCACCTGTCCGGGTGCGCGTCTGCCTGCGTGCACTGGTTTTTGAGCTACTGCGTGAGGGTAACATCGGCTGATCCGTGTCATTGGACATACTGCGGTGATCCGATGAGTTCCTCCAGAGCTGCTGTGCTCGGATCATGTGTCCGTCCAGCTGCAGCACGGCTGCTGTCATCCGAGCAGCCCCCTTGAGCCGAAGCGATTGGAGGAGAGGGACGCGTGCATACTCCGAGCTTCTTAATCAGCGTCGGGGGGGCGTCACCCTGACTCCAGATCCGCCCTACTTTGGCTTTTTTCCCAACTTAAAATTGCGTCGGAACTCCACCTGTAAGAAGCCGAAAAAGTAGGGCGGAAATTTCTGCACCCAACATAAAATAGGGCGGAAATCCGCAGGAGCAGGGCGGAAACCGCAACAGAAAGCAGGGCGGAAATTGGCAGCAACGGGGCTTGAAGAGTAAGGCGGAAATTCCAAGCCCTGCTTACGGATTCCCCCAGAGTAGGGCGGATCCGGAGTCAGGGTCTGGGCCTCGGGACGGCCAACAAAAACGGCTCGGGAATCGGGGAAAAAACGGTCCTGGCGGCTGGTCGAGACCTCTGGGGACCGCGCCTGGAAAACAAGTCGCGACATCGGATACGAGTCAGGATCTCTCTGGCTCGGCGTGTCCTTCCCCGCCGGTCCTGGCCCACCTCGTGTCGGCACGACACACCATCCACGCCCCCATCCACGCCACCCATACCCAGACAGCCGACGTCCCGCCGACAGCCCCACATCGACCCCCGTCGCGGGCAGCCACCGCGCGCCGAAGGTGCTCCGACCCCCGTCGCGGCGCGACGACTAGGCGAGGCTGGCCCCCGTCGGGGGGGGCACCCCCCCACGCTTTGAAGAACCCAGAGTGCGCACTGACCTTTGTGGGCCCTGGAAACGGCAGGGCCGTTTTTTCCCAGACAGCCGACGTCTCGATTTTTTCGAGACGCGGGCCCCCGACCTCCCGACCACTTCCCTGTGACCGGTTTTTCGTCCCGAGTCGTTTTTCGACGCTCCCGAGGCCCGGCGAGGGCCCCGAGAAACCCAAAAGTATGGAAAACCTCTGTCTCGATCTTTTCGAGACGCCCGATGTCTGGGTTTACCGTTTCCCAAAAAAGGTCCCTTGAAAATGGACACGGCAAAAACACGGCGACCGGGAACGGCAAAAAACGGCTCCAGGATTGGAGCCGGAGCCGGAACCGGTCAAACAACGGCGGCGGCACCGGTAAAAAAAAACGGCGTCGGAGCCGGCAACAAAAGCGGCAGAACGGGACCGGTACAAAAACGGCCCTGTCGCTTCCAGGGCCCACTATAAGGCGCTGGCCCTGGCCGGGAACATCCCAGGCCTAAACTCGGCGCACGCGCCCTCCCGGCTCGGCCAGGCAGGCACGCACACCGCCCGCACCGATCCTGGGCACCGGCAGGGGCCTGGCCGGGATCGGGGTGTCGGTGTGTGTGTGTGTGTGTATGTGTGTGTGTGTGTGTGCCGGTGTGTGTGTGTGTGTGTGTGCATACTTCCGCGGCTCGGAGCGGGCCCGGCTGCCTCTCCCTCCCGCCCGCGCCGGGCCTCCTCTCTCCTCCCGCGTGCCCTGCGGCTGAGTTCGCGCTCTGCGCGACCCGCTGATGCCACACCGCCGGAGGAGTCCCTCTGCCCAGCCGCCGACGCAAGAAGGTGCGTACTTCTCGTCGCCCGTAGGCAGGCCATGGTCGGAAAAAGCCTGCGTGGCAAGAGCACGGTGCGGTCAGACTTCATGGGTTGGGTGCGCGGGCGTCTTGTGCTAATGCAGCTCTCTGGAACCAGAGCCCCTCCCCGAGGCACCTGGCGACGTGATTTGTTCCATCCGCGGGCCCCAAGAGGTCCCGACCCTTTCCCCAGGAGTACCCGTCGGTCGGGAGAAGCGGGTACGTAGAAGCATGAAGTAGGACGGCGCTAGAAGTAGAGTGGGCCTCAGCCCGCTCGCTGAAGAAGACCACTCCACTCCTGAAGCAGGAGGGCACGTATAGCAGATTAGGACCCTGGGATCCAAAAATAAGCAATCTCGACGACTGACGGGCGATTTCTGTTCGTCCTGGATCCATGTTTCGTCGCCACATGTCCCGGAGACAGATCCCCGAGAGGCCGGAATCACAAAAGAGCTTCCAGATTTGAAGAAAGCGCAAGGTCGGATGTCTGGGTCTCCTTCGAAGGGTGCCCACCTGGCCGACCAGCCGCGAGTGGGGGAGCCGTGCTCCTTACCCTCCTGGGGGGAGCCCGTCTCATCGGCGAGTCCGCGAGTCGGTGGCGAGCCTGGGGGGAAGTGAGAATGGGCTGGCCTTCTCAGAGGGCTCGGAAGGCCTCGGGCATTCCGAGAAGCTCGCTATGCCTTCCCTGCAGACGCCGAAAGCCTCTCAGAAGGCCTGAGGCCTTCTGGGAAGCCCCGCCGCCTGCTGAGAAGGCCTCCTCCTTCTCACTTCCCCCCCTCGCTCGCCGCCGAGTTCAGATTTCGGGTCATAACTCGGGTCTCCAGCGGCCGTTCGGGGCGATCTGGGCATCCCCGCAACGCTCGCGGCGAGGCGCAGCCGCTGGAACTCATCCCGAGGGCGGGAAAACCGCCAAGAAACTGCGGAAACGCCCCGAAAACCGAGAACCTCGAAGTTCCCCCCCTCGCTCGCCGCCGAGTTCAGTTTATCGGGTCATGCGTAGCTCGGGTCTCCATGCCAGCCGTTCGGGACATGCCGGGCGAAACCTCCGGGCTCGCTCGCGCGAGGCGCGGCCGCTGGAAAACGCATCCCGAGGGCGGCACGGCCGCTGCGAAACTACGAAGGCGTCCGAGAACCTGGAACTTCGAAGTTCGAACCTCGAAGTTCGAACCTCGAAGTTGCCCCCCTCGTTCGCCGCCGATATACAGGGGTGGCGAATCCGACGGGTCCCAAGAGAGGCACAGTCGGCTGCACGCCAGAGTGACCCTGGGCAAGAGTGACCTTTGGTGCGCGGCTTCTTGAGGGCCGCGGGGGGCCCAACCACAAGCGCACAAGCGCGCAAGACGCTACTATCGCACCGCCCTCGGCGATCGGGGAACCCGTGGGCCCGCACCAAAGGGCACTGCGGCGAAGGGTCACTCTTACGTGTACCCGCGTAAGGACCCAGACATCCTGCGTCATGTTTTATTCAAGGCGCCTGCGAACGCCTTGAACAAACAAACCGAGCGCTTGAACAAGAACCACAGCAAAGTTTCACGGGCGACGCCTCGAAAACGGAACCGCGCGGCCCGCAATACACCGAGCGAAGCCAAGCCGCGCGCAACATACCCAGACACCAACCGATATGCTTTTTTCCAATCGGCGGCCCCAGAGGTCGGGACCCCTTCCCTACACCCCAAACCCTAAACCCTAAACCCTAAATCTCTAATCCTTATAATTATTAAACCCTAAAGCCCGCTAAACCGGTCGCTATGCAAGACGGCCTCCATCCTTTGCAAAAAAACTATGTCCTGATCATGCGATCAGAAAACCTTGTTGTTTACAATACATTGTGCCCGGTCCGGGTCGCAACCCGGGCCTTTCCATTGCAAAAAATACTATATCCTGATCATGCGATCAGAAAACCATATTTTTTACAATACAAAGTGCCTGGCCCCGGTTGCGGCCCCGTGTGTAAACCCGGGTTTTATATTGTAAAACATACTATAAGCTTAACATTCTGCTCTTGCAAGATGTGTCCATGTTCATATTCCATTGCAAAAAAATACGACAAAGTGCACACGCGCGCGGCGGCCGCGCGATCATGGCGAAATCTTTTGAAACACAATGTGTTTTCAATGTTTTTCAGAAGCGATATCAGCAAAACATATGAAAACATATGATTTTCTCATAACACAATTGTGCAGGATCGCCCTCCGCGTCCCGCCCGTTAGGGTCTCGCCCGACCCGCCCGTTAGGGTCCCGCCCATTAGGGTCTTGCCCCCGTCAGGGTTAGCCTCCCGCTAAGCGCTTGCTCTGCTATGCTATGCGATGCTACAGCCACGGTATAACATGAGAGGAGAGATGATCTCTATGTGGGGGTGGAGATGCGGGGGGATTGATAGCCACCGCAGGTGAGTGCCTATGCAGGTAGGTATTCCTCGCCTTGCCCTGTTAGACCCTAAACCCTAAACCCTAAACCCTAAACACTAAACCCTCAACCCTAAGCCCTAAGCCCTAAACCCTAAACCCTAAACCCTAAACCCTAAACCCTAAACCCTAAGCTGGTTCTTCGTCCCGGATCCGTTTGGATGGCCCCCGGGCCCGAGGACGGGCCCCGGCCGAAATCCAAAAAACGGGCGGATTGAAACAATCCGATCCTCGGCTCTCCGGGTATCCTCCTCCTGCTCCTCCTCCTCCTCCTCCCTCCCTCTCCCTCCTCCTCCTCCTCCTCCTCCCCTCCCCTCGCCCCTCCTCCTCCTCCTCCCTCCTCCTCATCTCCTCCTCCTCCTCCTCCTCCTCCTCCTCCTCCTCCTCCTCTCCTCCTCCTCCTCCTCCTCCTCCTCCTCCTCTCCTCCTCTCCTCCTCCTCCTCCTCCTCCTCCTCCTCCTCCTCCTCCTCCTCCTCCTCCTCCTCCTCCTCCCTCCTCCTCCTCCCTCCTCCTCCTCCTCCTCCTCCTCCTCCTCCTCCTCCTCCTCCTCCTCCTCCTCCTCCTCCTCCTCCTCCTCCTCCTCCTCCTCCTCCTCCTCCTCCTCCTCCTCCTCCCTCCTCCTCCTCCTCCTCCTCTCCTCCTCCTCCTCCTCCGCCTCCTCCTCCTCCTCCTCCTCCTCCTCCTCCTCCTCCTCCTCCTCCTCCTCCTCCTCCTCCTCCCTCCTCCTCCTCCTCCTCCTCCTCCTCCTCCTCCTCCTCCTCCTCCTCCCTCCTCCTCCACCTCCTCCTCCTCCTCCTCCTCTCCTCCTCCTCCTCCTCCTCCTCTCCTCCTCCTCCTCCTCCCTCCTCCTCCTCCCTCCTCCTCCTCCTGCCTCCTCCTCCTCCTCCTCCTCCT